TACTTCCAGACGGGCTGGAACATCTTCGACAGCATCATCGTGTGCCTCAGCCTCATGGAGCTCGGCCTGTCCGACGTCGAGGGGCTCAGTGTGCTGCGCTCCTTCCGGCTGGTGAGTCACACACTGGAAACTCAAAAGAACTGTGACCTTCTTTATTTTATTTAAAGCGTGGTTGTTTCATTTTCCCCACAGCTGCGAGTTTTCAAGCTCGCTCGATCGTGGCCGACCCTCAACACCCTGATCAAGATCATTGGGAACTCCATGGGCGCTCTGGGAAACCTGACGCTCGTCCTCGCCATCATCGTCTTCATCTTCGCCGTGGTCGGCATGCAGCTGTTTGGAAAGAACTACCAGGTAGCGTTTGTGACGTCTGACATCACACGACTTTAGATAGAATCATGGATGCAGCTTCGTCACGCCGTCTCTCCCTCGTCCCTCAGGACTGTGTGTGTAAGATCTCGAAGGACTGCGCTCTTCCTCGCTGGCACATGAAGGACTTCTTCCACTCCTTCCTCATCGTCTTCAGGGTGCTGTGTGGCGAGTGGATAGAGACCATGTGGGACTGCATGGAGGTGGCGGGTCAGCCGCTCTGCCTTCTGGTCTTCATGTTGGTCATGGTCATCGGAAACCTGGTGGTGAGTGAAACTTTCCCCCCTTTTTCTGTGAATGACTGAAACTGAGAAGTTTGGAAACGCTGCTGGTTCTGTCTGAAAACTCACAAGATGTTTGGAGACAAGGAGAGACACACGAGCTGAGAGATTTTCTTCATCTAGAACAAGCGTGATCACCAGTGTGCACACACACACACACACACAGCTCATCTTGCCAGGCAAAGGAGTAGAGGAAAGATTTCCTTTCTTCTGATAACTATCCATCATCTCATTTTACACTGTACCCCAACACACACACTGTTCTCCGAAGCTCATCTTACCTCCCTCACTATTAAATGTACCCCCCCCCCCATGAGTGTGACTGTGTTACGTCTGCACCTCTAAACACATCAATCAATCCATCAGTGTGTGTGTGTGTGAGACATTCGAAGCAGACAGGAGGGTGTAACTGGAGAAGAGGAACTCATCTTATGGTCACTGAGTTGTTTTATAATGAAAAGAAACATTTGAGATGATCCAGGCGTCATGAAGGAAGAAACGAAAAGTGGCAGATAACAAAGAAAATGAGGGAAAAAAAAAAAGAAAAGCGAACGTCTTGTTTGAGCTTCTTGTCGTTACCGAGGAGGGTCTGAATCCTGTGTGGGTAAAATGTAAAACAGATAAAAGACAGGAAGGAAAGGAAGGATGAGAAATGAAGAACAGAAGAGAGGAGGGATGGAAAACACTTTCACTTTGTTCCTCACTTCTTCCTCTAAAGACATTGTGGTCGTTAATAAACAGTGACGAGTGGTTTCATATTCACCAGTCACTGGATCATGAAGTGTGTGTGTGTGTGTGTGTGTGTGTGTG